CCTAAGGATGTCGCCCTGCCCTGCACTGCTGCAGTGCTTCTGGTGCTTTGTGTTGAACTGCCACTGCCCAGGTTGATGTCACTGGGCCCTATGTATCTAGTATTTTATGAGTTGGAAAACCAACCTGAAATTTATAAATACTGCTTAATATTCTGTCAAATCCTTCACTTGTGATGTTTACTTTAAAGCTTTCATGCATTCTAGAGTATGGTTACTTTTCTCTTCTCTGACAATTTCCAAAGTTGTGAGACATAGCATGTGTCTAATTTCTTTGTTTGGCAAGGCTCAGGAGCATCAGCCTCCATAACTGTCCTGGTTTTGTTAGACCTGTTTCCTGGCTTTAAGAACTGTGATGGAAGTCAGAGGTGAGGAATTTGTCTATGGATGACAAATGGGATGGGAAGAGAGTAGAGGGGAGGGTGACAAAGAGTTTATTTCAATGTCTTGCAAAGCTCAGGATGACACTTTGCTGTGTCTGTTTGCTTTTGTGAAAAACACCTTTGCAATTAAACTGTTGAGGAACTTGCCCACTGGGGAAATTTGCATTAGAAACAGGAAGGAACATGGTATTTACAAACCATCCTGCAGGACAGCACTGGCAGTTTTAAAAACATTACGTCCAGATGGCTGGTGCTGGCCCTCCTGTAGGTGTATAATTGAATTAGCCATGAGATCAAGTGGTTCCCTGCATGGCCAGCAGCTGCTGGCGCAGCATCCTGGCGTGCCTGGCACTCACCTTAGCTGTGCGAGGCACTGGCAACGTGTTCGTGGCAAAGGCTGAGAGTCAAAAGAGCTGGTGGGTGGATATTTGGTGTGTCCAAATTCCAGCTCTCATCTGTTTTCCCTCATCTCTGTGAATGTGCTTTCTATGCCCTTGTAGCCCAGTGACAGAATAAATTTGTAGGAAAGCCACAAAGAGAAAGTTTGAGGATTATAGTCTTTCCTTTTTTACAATCTCATGCTTAATCTAAGGGGAAAGCCCCCAAATATTATTTTTATTAAATTAATCTTCACAGGGCTGGAGATAACTGAAATTTATGTAGTGTGTAACTTGGTGTAGAGAAAAAAAGGCATTTCCTTAGGAAATGGAAAAAAACCCAAAATCTTTCAAAACAACTGGATGGATTCTTACACTGAATGACTTATTATCAAAATGCATCCAGTTTTATTGAATGAATGTAATTGTTTGTTAAACTTTTTAAAAATGTAATGGTTAATATTTTAATATTAAAGTAAAAGGGTCTCTAAATAGATTGATTTCTTTATTTCCTTTTACTATGTAAAATTCATAAATGATCTGTGTGCTCACACAAGATTAGGTTTTAAAATAAAAGAGGTATGAAATTTTGTATAGCTACTGATATTTGAAAAAGTCAGGGAAATCCAAAACTCTTGTATTTATCACCAATATTGTTGCCAAAATGAAGAGCCAACACTTTAAATGTAGTAGTACTAACCATACTAACCTTAACTGGTGGAATGTTGCCAGCTCTTCGTCATCCTGCAGAAATATATTATACTTGAACTGAGAAAACATGCAATTGTCCCTCCCCCTCTTCATTCCCACAAACTGGAGCAGTATTATGTTAGCCTGAGCTGTACTGAGCCGAATCCAATCTGGAATTAAGAATGCTCCAGGGCATTTTTAATAAACTGTCATTCATTTGAACTCTAACCTCCTTTAATTTGCAGAATCTGGTAGCGCAGATGTATTCTTCAGCCACATTCATTTTTTTCTTTTCTTATCTTGGTGTGAAACACTGCTGATAGCACTTAAAAATGTGAAGCTGCAGAACAAGTAGAAAGTTCACTGAAAATAGACTCAAAACTAAGAAACAATTACTGTAGTTTAGTTTGCTGGGTTTCTGCCATTCTGAAATGTAAACTTAATTCTAGTGCAGATTTTAATAAAATCCTCAAAGTGCTGAGGTCAGTTAAGCTCTTTCTGAAATTATGAAAAAAAAAAGGCTTTTATTACAAAATGCGAAGGACAAAATGAGGCCCTTGTCTTGCAAAAGGGAAGAAAACCCAGCTAATAACATATTCAGGGCATAGAATACTCCTGAGCTAAGTGCAGTCACTGAGGTTCTTGCCATAAACTCTTTCAAAACTTGTATTCCTGGGAATTCAAAACATGTAGGGTTTGTGATTAGGAGCATTTACACTGAGGGATAGGGCTGGGGAAAGGGAGCAGCTTCCAGTGCCTTTGTCCCTGCCAGGTGGTGCTGCTGGGCTGGGGCAGGGATTGCCCAAAACCAAAATTTTTATCTGTAATACTGCCTTCATTGGTTAAAGTTAATTTTCCATTGTAACACATCTGCTACAGCTATATAATTAACATGGCGAGAGGACTGTTTGTGCAACTTCAACATTCACACTTTTACATTTGATAGGAATGGATTTTTTTAAAAAATCAGTTTCTTGTGTGCATGCCTGCCAGTTGAATTTGGCTGTAGGTGTTGGTAGAACAGTTAACTAGGAAAACGTGCAGCCATGAACTTGGGTCATATTCGAAAAATGAAGGAAGAACTAGCTGGCAAGTACTGTGTTAAAAGTGTAAATGCAAATTAAACTTTCAAGTCAACACGTGTTAATGATTTGTGGTTTGAAAAAGTTTTCATATTTAAGTTTTGAAAGTTTTTTTCCTTTCTCTTTTAAACTTTGATCTCTTTTGTCTGGCAATGTAAGAGTATGTTACTAATAGACATTAACAAATCCACAGCTTTGTTTTCCACAAGTCTTTAATTCTCTTAAATGTTTTGAAATGTAAATTGTGTAATATATGTGATATGAACTTGGGTGAGGATTCAGTCAATCATCAGGTTGGGTACCAAATTGAGAACATGGAAATTATAACAATGATACTAAAAATACAGAAGTTCAAGAATCCTACTTTTTTACATTCTCATGTGCCCAAGAAATCTACAAACGGGAGTGTCTTGGTTTTTAAAGATAGTGTCTCAAAGCTGGAGTCTGTATGAATTAATGACTTTCCTGTTCTGATTCTTACTACAGGTTTTATTAAGCTGTGTTGTCTGGAATTAAGTAATAGAGCTCAGCAGAAACTAGATGCACTTTTTAAAAAGTACAAAGAAAAGCCTAACAACCCAGAAAACAGTTAGAAATAGAATATGTTTTAGTAGTTGAGTCTTGTTGGAGACAGCATAGGTTTATGTTCTTGCACTAAAGCAGAAGATAAAGTACCTGGTGTTATATTAGAAGTTGAATCTCTTTTTAAAGAAATATGATCTCTTCCCTTCTGGCCTGTTAGTTCTTTTTTCATGGGATTTAAGTGCAAATCCAGCTTTTTTATTTCTTTATTTCCCTCAAGTATATGTTCTCTTTGCTGCTTCTAAGAACGTTCACTAGACAGTCATCATCTTTCTTCCTGCTGTCTTCAGTGGAATCTTGCATCTGCAGAGACTCCTGAGTTGCTCTCCTTGCTGTTTCATTGATGCCACCATTACACTGCTTTTACTTTCTGAGTGAAGGTTGAACATCAGTAGTGTCAATACTGTTGGTAATTCTGATCTGCATTCAGAAGTGCAGCTTCTTATGCACTGCAGGGTATCTGACACGTTCTAGTATTTCATTGATCTTATTAGAGTGTTTGTATAGGTGGTGTGGAAGGAGTAAGTAATCTGTGTATCATTGGCAAATGGGCTGTGAGTCCTCATTATAATTCATGACAGCTCTCTTATTTATTTGTATTATTTATTGAACTTTTTATATAAAGCCCATCTATATTGGAATTGAAACAAAAATGGCTTATAAGCACTGATTGCCTGCTAGGAGGCTTTAGAGAACAACAGTCAAGCATGAGCTTGGGAGAAGTAGCCACCCTGATGACATGAACACTGTGGAATTTGGTCAGACTTTTCAATTCACAGCAAAATTGAACTCCTTTCAATGCTTTGCATAACATGGATGAATGGAATATATCCTCTTTCCTATTTTATTTCATTTCATTTAGAGGTTCTTCCTGAAGTGTTTTCTAGTTTATAAAATAATATTTGAATGAAGGAGGTGAGAAAGAACATAAAGGAAATAGGACATCCATTATTCAAATCATTATGTGTCACAAAAAAAAAAAAAAATCTATTTCACTTTATGTAACCTGTATCATTTGATGAGGGGGAAATCCCACTGACATGCTGGTCACTGGAGGCCATTGATGAAAAATGTTTCACCCAACAAATAAAGCTTCTGCTGCCAGACTGGTGTCATTGTGTAGTCTCCATTCTTTAGTGTGTTCTTTCAATTTCTCCATGCTAAGGAAAGAATGGGATCACCACAACTTTCCTACACTTCATGCTTCAGAGTTTCTCACAGTTATCAGGAGGAAAATAACTTGATTGTTATTAGAGCCGTTACAGACCTTTAAAGTTTAGGATGATAGAATAATTTGATTAGAAGGGACCACTACAGGCAATGCACTATAAACCCCTACTCAAAGCAGAAATAACTTGAAAGTTGGATCACATTCTCCAGGCTTTATTCAATCAAAATCTTAAAATACTCAAGGACTGGAGAGTCTACAGTTTCCCTGGGCAACCTGTTTTGCAAAGGTGTGCATTCTTCATGAAAAATATTGGGTTTTTATTCACAGTTTTATATTAAAACATGCATCTATAGCTGAATTTAAAATTTCTGAAATTACTTCTGTGATGAGTTACCATCACCATGAATTTAAATAATAAAAATGGTGCAGGACATATTTATAAATTGTATGTGGCAGTGGCCCAGGTTAAATAGGTTTCTGGTGTTAGCTCTATTTTGTATAAATATTGTTCATTACTAATGGATTCATGGAAACTTTGAGACATTTCTTTGCTTTGAAACACCACTGTTAGTTTTTAAAACAGTTATGATACAAAGAGATTTGAACAGCCATTTACAGAAAATAATTCCTTTAGTATGTTTTCCCCTCCCTGTATTTATATGGATTTAATGTTTTCTTGTTGTAAAAAATACGGCGCTGAAAAGGTCTTCTCTCTCAGGTAGAAGAGCTGATGAATGCATTGGAGAAGACTAGACAAGAATTAGATTCTACCAAAGCCCGTCTTGCCTCAACACAGCAGTCTTTGGCTGAAAAAGAAGCACATCTGGCTAACCTGAGAATAGAGCGAAGGAAACAACTTGAAGAAATTCTAGAAATGAAGTAAGTACCTTGATTTCTCTAATTTCTAGGGGAAAAAAAAGGAAAAGATCTGCTTTTGTCATAGGAGAAAGTTTTGATGAGTTTCTTTTGGTGTTATTTTTTGTTTTTTTCTCTGCACATATTTAAGTCTCAATCTAAGGATTTCTAATAGTTTTAAGACACTTAAATTCTTTTAAAAGCACAGAAGTGCAAAACTCTTCATTTTAGAAGTACTCAACATTTTTTTGTAAGTTGTCCTTTGTTGCATGCAAATACAAGTATCAGTACTATATAACTTCTATGAGAAACTGAAAATGTAAAGCCCCATCTCTCAGTGGGAATGCAATGCTGGAATCTCTGCCAGTGTCACATGCAAGGGAAGTGAGTTATTAACTTTCTATTGATGGTGCAAAGCTTGTTGCTTGGAATTGGTTAAAAACACCCCCAAACTAATAAAGAATTTTTGCATACACTTTACCATGGTGTATGTGTTCAGAATAGAAAAAGAGAGACATATAATTTAAATCTAACTTCCTCCATGCAAAGAAAAGTAACTATCTATAATTATGGGGCATTAAAGCTCTGATATGATCTTTAAAATTGGCAAAAAGAGCGAAGCTGCTGTGACTTGGCTATGCTGATAATTCTGTAGTAAACATTCAACAAAGAAAAATGACAGTTGTAATTTTGAAACAGTCTTTTTGAGGGAGGAAGCCATATATAACTTCAGGTCAATTGTTACAGTTAGCCTTGATTTTAAAGGAAGGGAAATAATCTGAAAAAATGGTTTTCATAATGTTATTGTAAATAAGGCCAAGTGGAAATGGAGTCACATACTTAGCAGGGTTTTATAAAAGTGGATTTTAAGAATATCTGCTGGGTAATACAGGTGCAGAAATACTGTAATGGAAGCACAAATGTTTCCAGGGATACCTAAAGTATTTCTGGTTTTGACTTTAATGAAGTTTACATCCATGCAGAAAAATGGAATTACATATGAATTAGAATACTGTGGGACATTATATTTTATAATAGATACATTTTAAAAGTTTTTTAAAAAATACTAATTTATAAGTACATATTAATTGTCCCATCATAACTCAGATGCTCAGTGCCAGTTATCTATTTTCTGTACAGTGCTTTGGTCTGTTTCCTCAAGTGCTTTCTTTTTTGTCTTATCAATAAGCTTTTTTAAAATCATAATTAACAATTGCTGAACAAAATAAAGGAAAAATCTCTAATTCTGTTAATGTGACTTTTAAAATTTGTTACCAAAACCTCACAGAACAATCTGGAAAATGAGGTTGGCAAAAACTGGTGAAGTAGAAATAATTTTGACAAAAGTTCTTCCGTTTTACGAATGAAGGGATGGGTGAGTGGTTTTAGAGGTGAAAGACTCATCAGCAAAGATCCTAGTTTTTTAAGGTAACTTATTAATTTGAAGCATTGATCATAATTTCTATTTATTGTTTAAAAAATCCAGTATCAAGTGATTACAGGTTTTGGCTACGAGCTTCCAGTTAATAGGCATGAAGTGTGTGTTTAAGAACATTCATGATGATTTCCTGTGCTTATATTATGTTCAAGTTCCAGCCATAACTCTGTATTCTAGGCCCATCTGGCTGTCATTGTCAAGACCCATCTTAATTTACTGGCCACAATCAGTTCTCAGTTTTAGAAAACTTCTTCAATTGTCATTTCTTGTTCCCATATAAATTTGGTTATTTATGGAAGTTTAGAATAAAAATAGAGAGCAGCCTAGTCTTGTTCATATCTGGTTGGTCTTTATGAGCTGGAAACAAGATAAGTACCTGTTAAATGCAAGGTAGTTTGATAAAATCAACTCTTTCTTAACTTGATGCCAATTTGTGAAAAAATAGGATTTGAAAGTATAAGTTTGAAGGAGGAGTTGCATTTGCATGTTAATTTCTGAAATTTTTTTCTGAAATGTCTATTAAAATATTACTATATTAGTTCTGGAAGAAATATTTTTGCTGTGGTCATATTATTTTAGCAGTGCACACATAACTCATTCTGACATTAATGGAAGTTATGCATACATGTTAACAGTAAAATGCAGCATATGTTCAAATCCATCATTTTGTCTAATTGTCTTGTTGCTTTGTGCTCTATGTCTGCACATAAAGCAAAAATCAATGCACTTTTTATTTGTTAGGAAGTGATACTTCAAAAAAATCTCTATTGCATAGTGTGACAAAATCCACGGTAATGTTTTTTTTTTAAGGTATGTATTTATCATCCACAGAAATATTTCAGTTGGCCTGTGCTTTAAATATGGTAGTTAGAAATATATCCTAAGACTGCTTTTTCCAGACATTGTTTTTGTTTTCTGAGAGTCCACAAGTAGGAGCACAACCTCCTGAGGGCTTCACAAGGCTTGCCTAGAAAAGCTTATTCATTTTGTAACATGAAGAGCTTGAGGGTAGGAGACGTTTCAGCACTCTGATGTGGTGGAGGTTTGTCAGATGTTTCAGAAATGCCATATTTGTGGAGCATACTTTCATGACCACAGTGCTTTCATACAGATCTCCTTTCCTATGTGGTTGTTCCTTCCAAAACTCATAAACCTGCTTGTAACAAAATTAGGTAGCTGTATAGATAGATAAATGAGTATTTACATAATATTAAAATTGCCATATATATATATATGTATGTGAAATAAATGCCTGCCCTCATGGAAAGTGGGTTTTGCTCCATGGGACAGATCATCTTTTTAGGAATGGTCGAAATTATTTTCCCTTTGGAAGATATAAAGTTTGACCTGGAGAGCCAAAAGTCATAAAAGAAAGTCTAATGACATGTGGTGGAAAAGATATAAAAATGGTTGTCACTCTTTGTAAGTTCACGTTTTAAACTATATGCATTTTATCTTCAACTGCAACCTCTAAAGGTCAAAAGAAAACACAAAACTCCAACATCCAAGCTCGTCCCTTTGTAATCAAAATTAAGGTTTTTCTTGGTTAAAAATCTTGAACTTAACTTTCTGTTATGTTTACTCGATTTATTGTTTAAGTACCAGGTTAGAAAATATTTCATTGTGGTTTTGCATTAATTTGATGAGCTTTCAGTGACTTAGTGCAGTGCTTGCCACAAGTAACTTAGTGAGTGGCCCTGTGATTAATCCCCCAAAAGACAGACTTTCATGTTTTGACCTGAAGATCTGACAAGTCTTAATTTTTGAGATTTAGTTGTTAATTACTGAGTGTTTCCTCTGTTAACTCAGCATACTCACTGCTCTGAAGGTTTCAGAATTCTTGCCAAGAGTTTGAAAGGCAATTTCCTTGCCTTAAATAGAGTTCATGCCATCACCTGTGGGTATTGCTAAATCAGTTTTGTTGGAATTGACTTTGCCCTGAAATTCACTACAAATTTCCAGAAGAAAATCTATTTTCCCTTATGTGAAATAAATCGGATGGTTAGTAATGAAGCATTAAAGAGCTCCTAAGAAAAACCCAGTTACTAGTTATTTTATGCAGTAACAAAAACAGAACATTACTGTGCTGTCCAAAAAATATACTTTAAATTAGATTTTTCAGTACACTTTCTTACAGTGACAGTATAAAATTAAACATCCCTTCCTTTAAGTACAGTCACCATTTTTTTTTTCACTGAAAATAATAAAAGAATATTGCTTATCTTTGTTTTTCAGTAGATTTATTCATTTAACAACACCTGTGTATAGTCAGGGATAAAAAAGTTGTAGGAAGAAGGGGATAAAATGCTTTTTCTTTCCACCACACATTCAGTCCCAGCAGATGCCACTCTGTGCACAAGTGCTGAACACACAGTGAGTGCCCTTTGCTTGCTGGGTCAGTGGTACAGCTGCTGGACCAGAGACGGAGAGGGCACTTGGATTTGCCACTAGATGCCAGTCTTGGGTGCAGGACCATGGTTCGGGTAGGAGCAGCTCCACGGGATGAGGAGGAAGCTTGTCCTGCTGTGCTTTGTCCCCTTGTCTGTCACCAGGTCTGACTGGTGCCCTCCTGCCTTGAAGAGCAAGAGCTTCAGGCATGGAAAAGCACACAAATGGCTTCAAGTGGACTTTACAGGATATTGCAGGGATGAAGAGGGTCTTTGAATGGATTCTGGAAGTCAGGGGTCACAGCCTAAGGGGAAGACTGTGTAAAATGTAAAACTAAGAAGTCAGAATTTGTACAGAAGTCAAAATGCTTTGTGAAGTACTAGTAGCAGAAGTATAAGAAAGTTTAGCATTCATCTGGTTTTCAGCAGACATACCCCTTTTTTCCATCTATAAATTTTACTGGAGTAGAAGTTGGGGATTTCACATCTGTGTAGCAGCTCAGCAGGAGTTTTAGCTCTGACAAGAGCTGTTGGATGTCCAGAGAATCTATCTAGATGTGTTTCAAGCACCTGGACAAATCAGCTCATGTCCCTGCCTTACATTATCCAATTACTATTTCCATCCATCACCATCTGAAACTGACACCTGGGGAGGGAACTCAACATGTTTGCCTTTATTTATGTCCTAATTGCTCAACCCTAAGAGGTTCTGACACCCACAGGAGAGTGGTTTCTTCCTCATTGCTGTGGGTACAGCAGTAGTGGAAAGGGCTTCTGAAATCTCTGTGTGAGTAGTAAATCCAGTGCATCTGGAATGTTTCAGAGTAATTATGTATGCAATTCACCTGTTCAGGGCAAGCACAGGCCAGAGGCATGACACTCATTGACAGGGAAATCCCTGATGAAATTGCAGGGACTCTACTAGTATGTAGTCGTGAAGTTAATTTCATTTTTTTTTTTTTTTCTTCTTCCATACAACATGAAGGAGAAAGAAAGGAATATAGTAAGGTAGGAGAAATTGGCAAAGTGATTTAGGGTTGGACCTGCTCTTTGAAATGCATGGAACTCACTTCTTTAAACCACTTTAAAGGATGGCTTCCCTACAGACCTGTCTGCTTTCTGTGTTACAGCCAGGCACAGTGTTACCCTGCACCCATCTTTTCCAAAAGAAAAGCAGAAAGGCAGATATTCCGTTCTCT